GTATCAAAAGCTTTTGATCCAATAATTCCACTGTAGAAATTTAGCCTCAAATAACAATTAGATATTTGGCAAAGATATGTGGAAATGAACTTATGCAACAGTATTCAACTGGTATCAGACATTCTTAAGGTAGAAATTAGGGAGCTATTTAGAAGAAAATGTTGAGAAAAGTGTATGAGAAAAACTGGACGTGTTCGTTATGACTACCTTTTTAAGATCAAAATATGTGTCACGAACGAGTCTGGAAGAGCATGCAGAATAGCAGTGCTTATTTCTGGACAGTATATTATAGTCATTTTATTATTTTAAATTTTATTTCCGCTTATCTGTACTTTCTGCTTTTCCTTTAAGGAATGTGTATTAATCACGCAGTAGGAGAAAACTATAAATTTCTTTTCAAATATATTTTGCCACAATTATGATAGCTGTGATTAACATTGAAATCAAAGTATCATTTGTCCTGCTCTGCCCACGCTTTCCCTAGAAACCTACGTTGATGAATTGAATTGAATTTCAGGTTTTTCCTCTTCTGAAGACAGTTATTATTTGACTATAAGATAAACAAAGATTTCGCAAAAAGAATCAACTAAAACAGACATGAGCTCGATGTTGACGATACAGTGCATTACGCACAGGAGGCAGAACCCTCCTGATACTCCAACTTCCTAGCTGTTTCCACTGACTGGCAGCACCACCTTGGGCAAGTCTCTGAAGCGTCTGATGCCTCCCATTCCTTCCTCATCTAGAAAATGGGGGTAATAACATTCAACACGCCCACCTCATAGGGCTGTTTGCGAAAATGAGTGAAACGATGACCGTGAGAAGGTTTTATAAATTAAGAACTAGCGAGACGAGAGCAGCTAGTCTCAGCATTTCTTTTTTCTGGGTGCGCTTCTTTTCCATCACACATTTCTTGTGTCTTTAGAGATGCCACTAAGTCTGATATTTTCAACGTGAATGCATCTCAAAACCTGGGCGGATTAGCTCTTCCTCTGCCCAGACAGCTCCCTCCTCCACATCAACAGGCTAAGATGGGCTTAAATGTCGGGGAGCCGTCCAGCGCGCTCCTCTCCTGCCGTCTGCAGACCCGTCTTGGAAGCTCAGGTTGTGGGATGGAATCAGATAGAAGGAACTAAGAGATCTGTGTGTATGAAGGACGGCTTCCTCCCTTACATTTCTAAAGAAAGACAAGTACCATATGATTTCACTAATGAACAAAGTAAAAGAAAAAGAGAAATGGGCCCTGGCTGGCATAGCTCAGAGGATTGAGCGCGGGCTGTGAACCAAAGTGTCGCAGGTTTGATTCCCAGTCAGGGCACATGCCTGGGTTGCAGGCCACGGCCCCCAGCAACCACATTGATGTTTCTCTCTCTCTCTCTTTCTCTCTCTCTCTCTCTCCCTCCCTCCCTCCCTTCCCTCTCTAAAAATAAACAAATAAAATCTTTAAAAAAAAGAAAGAGAAATGGAAACAGACTCGTAGATACAGAGAACAGACTGACAGCTGTCAGAGGGGAGGGAGTTCGGGAGTCTAGGTGAAGGGGTTAAGCGCAGGAAAAAAGCTCATAGACAGACAACAGTGGGGTGATGGCCGGGGAGAAAGGGGGAGGGAAGTAGAAGAGGGAAAAGGGGGCATGAATGCTGATGGAAGGAGACTTGACTTGGGGTGGCGAACACACACGATGTATTTATAGAATTGTACACCTGACTCCTACATAATCTCATTTACCAGAGTCACCCCGATACGTTCACTAAAATAATAAAATAAAGATGCCCGGTGCTGATGCCGAGTCTAGGCAAACACCGTCTTGATTCTTTCCATGGTGTGACGGGAGTAAGCACGGAGAAAGGAAGAAACCTGATGCTTGTACTCAGCACTCTGCAACCCATTATCTCATATTTTCTATGGAAAACAGCCTCGGCCGAGAAATTTGGTAACTCGGGAGGCTATTAATAGGATGTGGAAAGTGATTACTCCTTTTGGATTACTTCAATATGTAATTACTTTTAGGAGCTCGTAGAAAGAAACGCTATTAAATGATAATTATAGGACCGTATTTGCTTTAAGGTTCTGTAATAGCTCTAAACATGGGAGTTTTCATTAACTGTTTGCCATAGTTAATAAAGTCATTCTTCTTAAAAAGTAGCAATTTCCTGCAAAAATGGTGGCTCCAGTGTAGGATTAGCCTCTTACAGGAAAGGGCAGGGATACAGATCGCGCAGTAGGCTGGCTCCTCCACAGTGATACAATCTCCTTGAAAACAGAGATGGCGTCCTTGCAGTACTGTGACAGCGTGGCATCCTTATCACTCCCCAGAGAACAGTCTGTCTTGGTATAATGTTTCAGAGGGTCAACAGCGACTAAATATTATTGTGCACATAAAAATAAAGCAGACAAGGCCGACAAGGGAGGTGACGCTGGCACAGTGAGGAACTGGGGACTCGAGGAATACATGCAGCATTAAGTCCCAGATCTCAGTTGTTGATAAATACGAACACACAGATAAATGTGGGACCATAAGCACCGGAGAGAACAGATTATAAAGGAGGTGGTAGTGTGAGAGGCATGTGAGAACCCCAGAGCTTTCTGGACAGCCAAGTAGATCACCTCACTATCGATAAAACTAATTGCATGCTGAAATTTTTGGTTACAAGTATTTTTTTTCATCGTAAAACTGACATCAGCCCAGGCTGAAACAATGTAGCCACCCACCAACCCACAGGAGACAGAAAATAATTTGGGAATTAGGAAAATTCCAAGAGTGGAGGCCGGGATTCTCATAAACTCAAAGATGCGCACGTATCTTGCAAAGTACTGTGGAAGCGCTGTTTATGCCATCTCATCCAACTCGGGGCAGTAAACACTCGTGTCCGCACGAGTGCCCCTTGCCGGGGTCTCCCTGCTGCGGAGAAATCGATCTTTACAGAGGGAAACGCCTACAGTACGTTTGTGCGCTGTGGAGGCTGGGAACCGCTCACCTATCTCAGGGCTTTGCAGAGTTCTCTTCAAGGGGCTTAAGGCGCTCATACATGTACATGAATCAAAGCCCACAAGTACAAGAAAAATCCTAGATTACATGTAAAATTAAAGAGATCTGAGTAATGCTTCTATTTAGAAATGATTGAAATCATTCACTAAGTGAATCAGAGGTTGTTTTGTAGGGTTGCTTTAAAATACATTTCTCTCCCTGTAACTTCCTTCAGACCCAGGCTTTCAAGACATCGTCCACTGCAGAAAGCAAGGCACCAGGAGAGAAGATCTCTGTTGTAGCACCTAGGAGCCTCTGTCCCACAGTCGCATTTAATATGTGCTGATTAAACAGGTCATAATTACGCGCTGAAACCAGTACATGAAGTGGTAATAAAGTAGGGCGGGGCATATCCCTTCAAACCCAAGTGGCGTGGGGACCACTCCTCCGCTTTCATTATCAACCCAGACCGACAGCGACCAGAGTGGGTGGGGAGGGGAATAATGCTGGGAAGAAGGGGAAGGAACCAGACAAAGAACATGTATGAATGACCCACGGACATGGACAACGGTGTGGGGACTGACTGTGGGAGCAGGAGGTGGGCTGGGCGGAGGAGGGCAAAGGGGGGAACACAGGGAGAACTCTAATACAATAACAGTAAAAAATTTTAAAGAAAAGATCAACCCAGCAGTTAAGGTTATAACCTCTAATCTCTGAGTGCCTAAGTTTAAAATCTAGGGCTAACTCCTGTGTAGCTGATTGACCTTCTTTAACTTCTATTTTCCAATTACAGGTGACATCCCATATTATTTTGCACTAGTTGCAGGTGTACAGACAGCACAGTGGTTGGACGATCATATACCTTACAGAGTGTCCCCCTGATATTCCCAGTACCCACCCGGCTGCATGCACAGTGGTTACGATATCGTTGACCCTATTGCCCGTGCTTTGTTTTACATCCCTTGGAGCACTTCCGTATCTACCAAGTTGTACTTCTTAACCCCTTCACCTTCTGTAGCTGACTGACTTCCAACAAGTTACTGGATAATTCTGCACCTTATTTTCCTCATCTTCAAAGTGAGAATGATGACAACCCTTAGCCAAGGTGTGTTGAGAGCATTAAATGAACTGAGTATGGGAAGACTCTTGGCTGGTGTTTGAAACATAGCTGTTGGCACTGATGATACTTACTGGTCGCAGTGATAGTGGTGGTGAGGAAAGTAATACCACTTATTAGATTAACTTAAGATCCCATAAGCCTGCTCCCAGTCACCGAGAAAGCCATCAACCTATCACCTCGAGCACAGCTGCCACGTGGCTGGTGCAAACATACGCGCCCAGGAGGACCAGCGTTTATTCCTATGTCAGGTGATGGCACTGTCAGCCTCTCCTTACAGACCTGCACGGTCACAGGTTTCTAGGAAGAGCTGCAGACCAAAACAGTCCTCCCTGGCGAATCTGCAGTGGGACTCAGAAAGCACTTTATTCTCCCATGTTTCCAGTGGCCATAGCATGCTTTCTTCATGCCCTTCGGGCAGACACCCTGCAGGCACCCTCAGGTGCCCCGCTCTGTCAGCCACAGCGCATGCCAACTGCGCAGTGGAGGAAAAGTCCAGCTGAAAAATCGTACCGCCTTACAAAGTTGAACTAATCTCCTTTAACACTCTACTCCATATCAATATTCATAAAGCCGTGCTTCCCCCCAGGGGTTCATCAACCTCTTTAAAAAAAGACAAATGAAGCTGTTTGCATACTGACCCTGCAGGCTTCCCCACTTGGTTTCCCACTGCTTCATGAATATCAAAGCTGACAACAAGGAAAGGTAAAATAAAATGAGACCCACTTATGCATGGGCGCCAAATGAACCCCTGTCTCAAAATAAAGATCGCATTATTATTTCTTGTTTGCGCTGCAGCAGAAAGGCATTATTGAGATTAGGGAAAATACTTGTGCTCTGCAGTATACAAGCCATTCACCTCCCATTCCTCCTTCCCATCGTGACTTCCCCGAACGCATAGGAACCTTAGTACGAACCTCTATTGTCTCTGACTGTGAAGTTTGGATTGTGAATGATTTCGGGGGGTAGACTGAAGATAAATCTTGGTCCATTGGCTGTGTCATCCTTGTCATCTGCACTAATTGTAACAATTGGCTGAAAGAGAAAGGTGGCCCATAAATAAATCATGCTGACATCGGCACATCATTTGTTTTAAAATTTCCTGGCTGGCTAAGAAACCTGACTGGAATTAGAGGACATAGTTCCAGAGCTCAACTAGAACTTGCAAGCTCTCTTGGGCAGTGGGAGGTACGCTCTCTCCAGGTGACACTCTCAAAATCAAACTCACTTCCAAATGCCTTTCCTGGCTTACGGCCGGGGCCGGGGCTGGGGAGAGCACCGTTACCTGGCTAGAAAGCGGCTTGGTCTGGTCACTCTCACAGATGAAGCCTTCGTACGGGGCAGCAAACTTGGGAGCGTTGTCATTGACATCCAGGACCCTGATGGACACTGGGACTTTGGCTTCCTGATGCCGATTGTCTGGAAAGAGAGACTTCAGTCAGTGCCGGGGGCGGGGGGAATCCACATGGGTCCAAGGTTACTCCTAGGAAACGGTGAGCTCCAGCCACTCCTCCGGGGAGCATAGGCACGGCTGGCACAAAAGAACTGAAGTACGCAGATGTCCACATTAGACCCGTGAGAACTAAACTACTTTTCCATTTCCGCCGACTGCGATGCTGAGGTTATATTGCAAATGCTGATAACAGAGCCTGGCACCCCTGAGTGCAGTCCATAGCAGTGGTTCTCAAACTGGGGTTCCCCAGAGCAGCAGCAAGACCAGCTGGGAATGTGTTGGGAATGAAAAGGCTCAGGTCCCAAACCCGAATGCACTGAATCACAGGCTCTGGGAATGAGATCCAGACATGCTTGATACAACGAGCCCTCCATGATGTTCCTTCCGGGGCATGACCAAGTTTGAGAACCACTGGTCTCCAGGTAAACAGGAGCCGACAAAGCTTGGCTCTGGGTTTAGACAACACTGAGTGACAGAAGGCAGGGGGAAACCCTTCGGTGATGCTATGGGCTCAAGCTGCGGAGGGCTCTCAGCTCACTTGCCGAGTCTGTGCCCCGTTCCACCAGAGAAAACAAAAACATCTCTACGTTTTTACATACATGACGTCCTAGACAGACAACCAAAAATACATGTTTAAAGACTGAACAACGTGTTTCACACGAAAACATTTATTCTCTCTCAGCTGTCTGTCACTTCCCACAATATAGAGACTCCGGAAGAGTAAGATTTGGTGAAGCAGAATCAAAACCCTGAGGACACTTACGGATTTCTGCGGCAAACACGGATATGTTGAGCCAGGCTGTCTCCTCTCTGTCCAGAGGTTTTGTCGTTTTAATAAAACCGTCCTCTGGATTAATAGTGAAAAACCTGTCCAGGTCAGTGTGGCGATCGATCGAATACCTAAGCAGAATGCAAATGAGGCCATTAGAGGAGACCTTCCAAGCAGCTTAATATTTAAATGTTTTCTCCATGTACATTTAAAAGCAACTTTTTCAGTGAGTTTGCTTGAGCTAGGTCTTCTTTTTAATCAAATTTACTTTTCAAACTTTGTACATGAATCTTTTATAGAAATCATTTTGCCACACTGGAATTCTTTCTTCGGTACAATGAATGAAAGGGCTGTTTTGCATATTTGATTGAGAAGCGTAATAACATGTTGCATATTTCTCCATACTTACTATAATCACCCACCGCCTGAATATGTATGAAGTTGCACTGGGGAAGTTGCTTTGCCTTGCTCTCAGGCTATTCAGAGTGTCATAACTGTATCAGACCTTGGTCAGGGTTTTGCATATGAGATATCAAAGAGTTTCATGTTTGTCTAAGTTTATCATCAAGGATCGCTTATGGTCCTAAACAATCAGTTTTCTCCTTATTTAAAGAAAAATGCTAACTACGTTTTGAGTGAATTTATCTAGTTTATGTACTTAATTTTAGGGGCTTTCTTGGTAGCTCGGTTGTGAATTCCAGGACGAAGTGGGCAAAGCAGTCTCGGCCATTCCTGGGTAGCGCCTTCTCCCCACACTTCGACGGCTCCAGGCTGTGCCTCACAGCACAGCCAAGAGGTTTTAGCTACTTCTCTCCACTAGAAAATTTGCTTTCTTCAAAGAAATGACAAAATCATTTCCCAATGTTACTGGAGTGTATTTGTGGTGAGGTGAGGTGGGGACGGGGCAAGAGGAATGCCCTTACTGAGGTACAAGGTAAAGTGACTTGCCCAGGACACGCAGAGTTGTAAGCGGCAGAGTCCTGGCTTTCAGGGGTCTGTTGAACTCTAAAGGCCCTTTGCTTTCACTTCGTCGCACGGAGTCCAAATGGAGGCTAGCAAGGATGCTTGTGTTAACGCAGGGAGCGGGCTGGGCTTCATCATTGGGGTTTTTTCCTGTTCTTTGTTTTCCTAAAGTCTGCAGAATACATATGCCCGAAGGCTTTCATTGAGGGTCCTAAAACCAAATAGTAGAGGTAGCAAAGACTGTGGATGTCACACGGTTTAATGTGCTCAATTTACAAATGTTGGGTGGTCTGTGTTCTAGTTTCTGGGGGAGCCACTATGGGACCCTGGATCTCCCAGTTCCAAATCCCGTTCTTTGCAGGAAAGAGGGACCGTGTACAGCAAGCAGCACCTCCCAGTATGCAGACCATGAGGCCGCTCAGGCTGTCATCTGACTTCGCAGCTCCCATGGGAGTGGAATGACCAGTCCCTTCTCCAGGGGGGACTGGAGATAAACCATGACACGTCTCATAAATGTCAGTGGAGGGCCAGTCGCCGAGCCCTCGGCAGACAGCCCCACATGAAAAGGCAGCAAAGATAACAGAAGACCTTTTGTCTTGTCCCCAGGAAGTTTACTATCTAGTTCACGTGACAAGACACACTCATAGGAAGAAATATAATAATTCAAAATACTGTTCTATAGAAGTGAACTGGTCTTGTAAAGTCTTAGGTGTAAATTCATGTTCTTTGAATCAGCTTATTTATCACTTTTAGCTGGAACACAAATAGTACCCAACTTTTGGGTTCTCTGTGAGAATCACATGACATAAGACATGTTTAAATATACAACCTAGTGCCTCCCACGTGGCCAGCAGTCCAGCCTCCATGCCACTGTCATTGCTGTGACACGCTGTGGCTAGATCATGGGGACTCTCAGGCCACTCCACGGAGTGGGGCCTTCATCCCACTGCCAGTGGGAATCATGGAAGGCTTTTGATCAGAGGAACCAATAAACAGAATCATGTTATCAGGCAGAGGAATAAGGGAGGGTGGACAAGGCAGCCTGAGCAAGGAAGCGTAGAGGAAGGGACAGAGGACACTTACGGATCCGACCCAGTATTTAATGAACGAGGCGAGAAGAGAGTTGGATGTGGGACTGACAGAGGCAATTGGAGCTGATGCGTTGGAGAGAGAACCAAGAGGACTCAGATGGTGTTTGATACCTGGCAGAGGCTGGGAGAGTCAGAGAGAGTTTCTAGGCCAAGTGTCAGAGAGAAGGAGGCCACAACAAAGTTGACTTAGCAGGGAGAAGGGGCTGAAATTGCAACGAGGGGTATCTCGACACGTGAACGGAGCAAGGATTCACCTCTGTGCCTGGGTTCGGAGTCAGAGCAGCCGGGCTTTGCTGTAGGGATGTCACAGTCAGTATAAGCTCAAAGCTTTTGTTTTGAATGAGTGAGCGAGCCAGTGTGGAAAGAAATGAGTGACAATGCACACGGCACCCCATAGAGAAGCCCAGAATCAGGGAGAAGGTCAGCCCGGAGCCAGAGACTCGGGGCACAGATTCAGTCCAGTGATGCCTGGGGAGGGCTCCATACGTGAGTGGTCAGAGAGAGAGAGAGAGGTCAAAGTCAAAAGGCTGAGCCTCGGCGAGGGACAGGGACCAGGGACCAGTGACGACACCAGGGCTGTGCTGTCTGAGACGTGTGACGTTCCTGCCAACGGTGCTAAGAGAGGACATTTCAGAAAGGCGGTGGTGAACAGAAGTGTGTCGAATGCTACAGAGTCTGGGGGAGAAAAGATACGCAAATGTTCATGCAGCTGAGAGTTTAGACGACACTATCAGGTCTTGCCCGTGTGTCCAAGAACACCAGCTCCTTTAGAGGTGAAGACAAGAGCGGGCAGTGAGGACAGGAGACCCAGTGAATAAAGAGACCGAGTGGGTGAAGGACAACACACAGTCTGGGGTGTCACGGTGCTGTGATGTGCCGTGGTGAGAGCTGTGGGGGGGGGGGTGACACCTAAGTGCCATGTAAGCAAGGTGGAGAGAGAGGGGAACAAAGACCCAGGAGGAAGGACATGTAAAGGTCCGGAATTAGGAGGCAGCTGGTTCTATTTCAGAGGACAGGAGGTAGCCCAGTCTCACAGCCACGGAGAAGGGAGGGGAAGACAGACAGGGGAGTCGGAGGCCAGCGGGGCATCAGAGCTGCTGGGGGAAGAGGCTGGAGCAGCGGCCTCAGGCTGAGAGTGCTGAGATTGTCTCAGGGGGAGGGGGCACTCGGGGACAACTCAGTCATCGACTATTTTGTTGCTGTTTAACTGAGGAGGAGGCAATGTTCGGCTGTCTTAAACCGACCACTCGGGACTACAGGATGGACACAGGAGAGGTCGGGGGAGACTGGAGGCAGGGACAGCATGAGGAGGCGGAGAAAGGAATTCGGCAAGAAGGGCATTAGGGACACGGCCTTGGGGAGAGCAGCATCTGCCACAATGCAGTCCAGGACAGGTTTCAGCTACCGAAGTTCCTGTCCCGTGCATGTCCTGGATCTGTGACTCGGGCCTCCTTAGCTGCTTCATCATCAGCTCATCGCTCATTAACTCAGGTCGGGACGGGGCTTGGCGGGGAGCTGCATCCTAAATCAGCTTTCTAGCTTGCTCTTCTAAGTCGAAAAAAACGTTCATAATAAACAAAGCACCCTGTATTTGCTTGGCACTTTGTTACCTCTTCCAAGCGCTCAGCAGCAGCTAGACACACAGCTTGTTACAGCCTCCTGCTCACTGGCCCAGTCCTTCGGGGCAAGTCGCCCTGCCATACAGCACCCCGATCTCCCCTCCCTTTAAGGAGAACAATTGCCATGAAAAAAAAATGCAGTGAAGGAGATAAATTAGACTGTGCATCTGCACACCCAGTGGGGTAACTGCAGCACAGGAAGGTGTTCGATGAGTTATAATTACTATACTTATTTTACAATTAGTATTTACACCTCCCCACAGTTCCCGGGGGGATGCAGACCCAGTGAAGGGTTACGCGGCTGGGGAGACATCATGTAGCTTTAACAAGCCTGTCCGAAAAGGGAGCAGCAGAGGTGAAGCCGACTGGCTGTCTTCTAAATCTGAATCCTGTTTACCCTGCTTCGGGCCTGATTATCTTGGGCCCTTTGGAAACTCAAGGATGTGGTTTCCGGTTTCTGCCAGGCTTTCCCAAAACCTCCTGCCTCTCTAATTCCTCGTCCAGGCTTTTAAAATAAATCTCCCGGTACCTTATCGGGCTGTTGGCAGCATCGGGGTCTTTGGCATGGACTCTCCCGACCACGGTGCCAGCGGCTGCATTTTCTTGCACTTCATGGATGTAACTCGGGGCCAGGAACATGGGGGGCTCGTCAGCGTCTTCTACTGCGATCTTGACCGTCACAGTGTCCTTGAAAGGCCCGTTGTTGATGAACTTGGGGTCAATGTGCACGTTGGCTGCCTCTACCTTCAAGCTGTATGCTCTTTTGGTTTCAAAATCTACGGGCTGACAGGAAGGAAGAGAAGACTGACAACCAATTCCTTGAAAGAAAAATGAAAGCAAAAGACCTGTTTTACAGGGCAGAGTGTGTCGTTCCTCAAAGTGAGAAAACCCGTGTCTATTCAATATCCAATTACCTGAGCCATTTGGTCAGAAAATCAGACAAATCAATTGCTGACACCTGGAATATGCTTCATGGGAATTCTAGGAGCACGCCAGACACAGAAGGACCTCAGGACCTACAACGGACCTCACTGTGAACACCACCAGTAAGGCTGCCCAGAGCCCCTATGCATCTCCCAAGGAGGAGAGGGAACTACAGTACCACACAGATAAATGTCATCGACTGTCCCGTAAAGCACTGAGTTATCTCGGTAAGAAAAGTAGCCCCTGAATTTCAGCCAGAGCTGTCTTATCAGATGACCGCTCCCCTCCACACGCACACACACCTGGCTTCCTCATCTGACAGCCTCACTTTGAAAGTTTCTGACCGTGTAGCCTTTTCCAAAGTCCGGGACCCTGACCAACAGTGGCCCATTAAGATGACTTAAGGCGGTTCATGGATAATTTCGGTGGGTGGGTTTGTTGAGTCACATTAACTTACTTATCGACACAATTATTCCTTCTCCAGTCCTTCCACTTATGAACACATAAAGAATATCTCCGTGTGGTGCTGATTTGTAACATATCTGTTCTGCTTCTTAACCTCCCTTTTCAGAGGCTGTGCTACATAGCTCGCTAGTCAGATTAGAATAATGATATTTTGTTTTGATTGTGTTCATTTTTAGGATACCCTCTATTTATGGCAAGTGACAGGAAAATAAGAATAATGCCTCCTTGTTAGAAGAATATGTAATATGTTAAAAAAAAAGTCCACTTAAAGAAAAGCAACGATAAACTATATAGATTTTACACAGATATGAAAAGATGGGAAGTAGCTTTTGAATGGCTGCGGTTACTGGGAAATGGATGGCGAATGCCCCTAATTCTGAACGAGAGGAGCATCAACGGGCAACGGGTGAAGAGTGAAACCGCAGCAGAGAAACAAGTCCTCGTGCCCAGGAAACAGAACTGTCTAATTAGCACCCTGGGTGACGCGCAACTACCAGATGTTCGGGAAGACTCGGTCTTTCCAGGCGACCATCTGCCCGCCACGCTGTACTCGTCTGCCTGGCAAGCGCCTGGTTCGAACCTTGGACGCCGCCCTAGGGCTGAGTCTTGCTCTGACTCTGCAACGGCAGGGCGATTCCGGTGTCAGGAACGTTAAACACGTCCGACGCCCTTGACATGTTCTCCATCATCTTCCCGCCCTCACGCTCCCCAGAGTCGGGGGACACTCCCGTTTCCTGAAGCAAAACCTGCCCCCAGTGGCTCCCCTATTCTACAACTCTGCAGAAGTTTCATCCTTTGCTGTGTTACGAAGCAGCAGAAAGGGATGATATTTATAAGCTGAAGGTACGAGACTGTGAAGTTTCTCAAAAATCTTTGATCATTAGATAAAGCTAAAACCTGAAACTGGACTATGATCGTCCTGAGACCTGGTCAGTGGAGAGTTTCCACCTTCAGGTGGTCTGAACCTTCCCAGCGCACAGCTGCTCTGACCTTGGTTGAGACCCGAGCCCACAGCCAGGTCCCCAGTGGAGAGCCCGTTCACATTGACACTAGTGCAGTGCTCGTCAGATCCCAAGCAAAAGGCCCTGGATCTTGGCCAACGTTCGTCTGAAATGCCCTTTCCTACTTTGGGGCGGTTTTACTAAATTGTCTTGCGGCCACTCAAGCCTCACCGCCTTGGAAAGTCCTCCTCACCTCCCACCAACAGTCAGTGCGGTCCACCAGCCACCCTTCTGCAGCCCCCTGTCTCCCGCCCCGGGAGGTGGGGAGCATCCTCAAGAACTCGCCCAAGCCTTGTTGATGCTTGCTGACCGTTGCCTCCCCGATGCCCAGGAGTCCCGGTTCCAAGTGGCCATTCTGACCAACTGGGAGGCAGGGCAGATGGGTAACATTTAAACACGGACCTGAAACGCATTCCCTGCCTCCTTCCAAAAAAAGATTCCAGGTCGTCTCCCATGTGGACAGTTACAGCCGTGTTAGGAGGAGTGGAAATAAAAACTAAATGAGGCAACACAACATAAGCCATAAAAATCTTTTTTAAACCCCCCTTGGTAACTGATCCCACCTCTGAGAAGTCTCCCTGAGGGACGAATTCAGGAGAATACCAAAACAAACAATATTCAAAAATGCACGGTGTTTGTCGCATACGGCAGAGGGCTGTCTCTAATCAGGGAAACGTACACACGAAACACCGAATCCAGCTGTGAGATTTTATTAAGGAAATAATGGTCCATCCACAGGATGGAGCGTTATGTAGTCATTAAAAATGATTATGTATATTATGTAACAGCATGTACAATGTTTACGATATGACATTAAGTTAACAAATCAGATCACCCCACGATGGCAGCTGTGTTGAATGTGATATACCCACATCCATATCGTGTGGCCAAGGAACGGAAAGAAATAATTAGACATAAAAATGACTTTATTAAAATGGAGAATATTTAAAATGTTTTCTAATGCTGCTCTCATGCTGTTTTACAAGGAGTTTATTGGGTTGGAAGTAAATAACTCAGAAACGGCACCAGGGTATCGCTACGATAAGTAAGAGTCCCACTTGGTCAAGGGTGTTTGCAGTGAACAGGTTGGATTCCCCTCCAACCGTCAACCAAGTCAGCGATACGTTTCATCCTTGTTGTTCTTTGGTTCTTCGTTGGCTGACCACACAGAGGGGGTCTGACTATCCGGGGGGCAGCTCTCTCTCTCATGCACCACCACACACCCGACACTCCCGGGGTCTCACACAGAGCCAGCACTCAAATATCGGTTGCTTCCTCAGCTCTTCAATAAACAAACAGCTCTCCCTCCTCCGTATCTCTTGAATTCTTCATCCTCTCCCCTTCTTCAGTTCTTTGTGATGTCTTCCTTGAATTCCAACAACGGCGTTGCAGCTGGTCCCACCGCCTCCACGTCAACACCCTCAAGACTGAACGTACTCAGGTTTCTTAAAGCTGTCCTGTTTCCACTGATACCTGGTTCCACGGCGTCCTTCAGGAGCTCTTTTTTCCTGCCCTTCTTCTCCTTCTCTGTCTGGTAAATGCCCGCCCATCTATCGGGACCCAAGAACTGCCCCCGTAAGAAATCACTCACGTCCCTATTCACAGATGCCATTGCACTGTGTCATAGTTGGTTCTCAACTGGGGAGTGATTTCTTGTAACTTACCTAGGGTGTAGCTAGCAATGTGGCAAGCTATTTTTATCATCACGACTGCTGGGGTGGGGTGGGGTGGGGTGGGCCGTGTGTAACTGGCATCTGCTGAGGCGCCAGCGGGCAGTCTGCTGCACACCACCCAGTGCACAGAGCAGCCCCCACCCCCCTGAGAAAGGCGGTCCGGCCTGAAGTGCCGTTAGTGCTGGGGCTGAGGAAACTGCTCTGCTCAACTGTCATTTCACTTCACCGTCCTGTTAGATTGGGATCTCTCAGTGGCTGGAACTGTCTCTTCAGCTTTTGATGTCCAGCCTCTCACAATGGGCTTGCCTGTCAAATAATTACTCAATAACTCTTGGTAGAAAAAAAAATGAGTTAATAAATAAAGAAGAGAGTGGGAAAAAACTACACTAAAGAATATGTTTAAAAGACATACATATTTCCATTATTTCTCCATGCCCTTTTACGTTATTAAATCATATATAATGACTCCCGCCAGGACCCATCTTTTTATTCTGTTAAAGTCACCTCTCAATTTTTCTTTCTAATGGACATTTGGAACTTTGTGCTGCAAGTTTAGGAAATGAAACAACATCTTACTCTGTTTTAAAGCTAAACAGCAATATTTTATACAATATGATCCTTCTGCTTGGAATAAACACACCCAACTGGGGAGACACGTGCAAATTAATCTTATGCAGGGAGCTCATTTGCGAAGTGTGAGTCCCACGGGGCGATTCAAATGTTTCAGGGTTTCAGAGACATGGTGAGTGTTTATGCCCCGAATACCTGAAAATAGGTGACAACCTTGGCATGACCAGCCGCCCAAGGACATGAACAGCAAGGACAGGAGGCTGCTGTCAATGCTCACGTGTCCCTGCCAAGCACGAGGGACAGGGATGTCAATGAGGGTGCCGCGCTGACGGCTCTCTGCACACAGTTCACACGGCAACCTTTCCGGAGGAGAAGCCCAGCCCCTGTGGCTGGTGGTTAGGGTTCCGTGGCCGCACCGTGCATGGTCACTACTGTTGACCTTCCCGAGTGTCTGAAGCTCGCTCCAATTCCATGTCCTTGTACAGCAGAATCACCTCTCCCTTCTCTCTGTTCCATGTCCTGTCATATTTCCCCCAAACCCAACAATGCCTTCAGGTGTCGGGGCAAGTCAGCTTCCCAGAGCACGTCTCTCCCAGCCCACCTGCTACGGAAAGATTCCCCCACCCCACCCTTGCTTTCTCCCCAGCTGCTGGCCTCTATTGATTCTTCAAATTAATTTTTTAGCAGTGTTGCAGCCCTATCTTTTCCATCACACGGAAGAGCTTAATATTCATGCTACAAAACCAAGTTGAAAATGAATGCTTGATTAAAACCAAGGTAATCCCATCATCCAATTCAGATATAATGCTCCATACACTTTGATGATGGAGAGATGTTGATTTCTCAAGTGGTAAGGCGGGGGGCTGGGAGGGGGGATCGGTGTAGAATACACTGTGGCTGTTTCTTCACTTCAGCAAATTCCATCTGGCACCCCTTTTCAAGCCCTTTCTGGCCCAGCATTTCTCAGGAGTCTTGAGGGGGGCGTTTTTCCAGCATACTCTACATATGGATTCCCTGCCCGTGAATTGCTAGCTGCGTGCCTGTGACAGGGGCAATTTATTTAATCTGTCTGAGTCCCAATCTCCTCATAATTACATTGAGGTCTCACTGTCCACAGGGATCACGCAATCTACCTCTTATGCTTTTTGTGAAAAGTAAGCAAGAGAATGTTTGGAAGAGGCTCAGGCTTTCTCTGGCCAACATTTAGTATTGTGGAAATGTTAGACTTTAGAAACAAAGCAAAAAAAAAAAACCCCAATAAACTCCCCATTGCCGTGGGTTAATCCCAAGGACCCACCGTCAGTGACAGTTTAGCTGACAATGGGAGAGGGACCATAATTGTTGTTTCTTGGGTTCAGTTTTGAGAGACAGTCACAGCAACGTGGTGGAATGTGGGTGCTGGAGACAGGGAGAGTTCCGAGCAGCCCGTGTTAACAGACTAGCCTGGCTGAGAAAGCACAGGGGGATGTCCATGCCTGCTCAGGGCCGCTTCTCCAAAATCTAGACGTATCCAGCTGTCTGTCTGGCCATGGCAAAGCTGCACCAAGAACTAACTAGCAACCTCAGACAGGCATTGTGAATCTCTGTTGCTGGCTGCCCCTCTGGAACACAGTCCTACTCTTTCCCCAGAGCTCCGAGAGCTCAGCTGCAAAATGGGATCGGCCCCCAGATGCCCACATTTGCATGTCTGAACCTTCGGTTCCCTGCTTCGTGCAGTGCCGCCCCCCAGAGCAGGCCGTAGTACCCCCGACGCCTCGGATTCCGCAGCCTCACTCACCTTTTTCAGCTTCACCACGCCCTCCTGTGTCTCATAGTCCGTTGAGATTTCAAACAGCTCCATGCCGTCTCCATCCACAATGGTGTACGTGACTAGGCCGTTCTCCCCAATGTCCGGGTCCTTAGCCTTCACTCTGCCCACTTCCTCCCCGGGGACGGCCGCTTCCGACACAGACATCTGGTACACGCCTGAAAGCAGAAGACATCTATTTTTATTCCCCCCTTTACTTGTCGGCTGTAAGGCGGTAGATTCCATTGAATCCCCACAAACTTCTCAAAGGGTTTGAGAGTGAACTTTCTATTGCCTGAAAACATGAAAAGAAGCGAACGGGTGGGAGGAAGATCCCGCACGGCCGGCCTGTCCAAGAAACCTGTTCCACCCAAGGACGACGGAACAGGGCCGGGGCCCCAGGTGATGTGGCGGGGTCACCTGCCCGGGGAGGGAGGAAGACAATGCTCGGCTGCATTTCCCATCGGCAAGTGAGGGAGGGCCACGTCCTCTCCACAGGTTCAGGCAGCCAAGCCTTCCCTCACGTCTTCGGGACGGCCCAGGGGCGTGGCACCGCCAGATTCCCGAGGGGGGAGCAAAACCCCAAAAACCCTTCTGTTTAAAAGCCTGCCGCAGCTCCATGTTTATTTTAAAATCAAATGCAACTCTTATCTTTCAAGATCATGACTCTTCTAACTCCAGCGCCACATCTGACTTTCCTCTCGCTTCACCTCCTTCACCGTGTGATCAAACACTAGCTCACCTGGGAAGATTCCCCACAGTGTGACCCTCTCAGACGTGTGCATTTGATATTTTATTGGGAGCTTAACATGTGCTGGTCACTGTCCTCAGAGACTGGACAGTAAATGAAATCGTCAAGACCTCGCCCCGAAAACACGACGTGCACATGCACTCTGACGTCACTGCTGGGAGAAAGAAGAACATGCTCGGATAAGGGGCAGACGGTAACGAGACAGTGAGGTGTGCTGTGTGTGTAACTGTGAGAGAGCGTGGTGTGTGTGTGTGTGTTTGTGTGACTGTGTGCGTCCGTGCGTGCGGCCATGTACACTTGCATTCCATAAGTGTGGGTGAGGAGGAAGCTGGAGAGAGAGAGAGAGAGATTGACTCTGGCTAGGGTGGGCTGGGAAGACACGCCTCAGAAGGAGGCACCTGAACTCCCCGGAAGGGGCTGAGAAAAGTAGGGAACAGCAAACGGCAGAGACGTTGGGGAGGGAACACACTGAATACACACACAGGAGCAGCAAGAAGACAGGCGACTGGAGCCTTGGCTGAAGAGATGAGGGTGTGGAGGTACAGGGGGGCCCCGACTGCGTTAATAAAAAGGGGGGCGGCGGGCGCATTGTAGGAGATGTCCTACAAGCTTTGTTCAAACGTGGTGGGACGCTGCTGGAAGGTTTCCAGTAGGGAAGTGAGCAGGAGATGATCTTCCCGGCATTTCCACATTTTAAAAGACATTCTATATGAAACAGTATGGAGAAGCAAGGATGGGAAGCTGAATGGTTTGGGGCAAGTTTCTCAACCTCTGTAAGTGTTAGTTTCCCATCACATCGATTGTTTCAGTCCCGGGACTCTGTCTGTACGTGGGTATATCATTCGCCTTTGAATACGTTCAGTTTGGACCCAGACTCAAGCTCATCAAGCCACGGCCTCCCATTAAAGGACAAAGGGGAAGTGGTAGTCTGTAGATATTGACCAGCTTACGTACCAGAAGGTTTAGAAACCCCTGCTGTGAGCTGATTTTTCTCCAAATCTCACCGACATTCATGGCTATGAGCCTGGGGACTGCACAGCCACGAGGAGCCTTTCCCACTCGGTGGGGTGGGAGCGAGGGCACTAAGGGCCGCCTGCTCACAGTCCTGCTTGGCCTTTCCTTCTAGCTCGTGGGACCGGCACAGTGTGGGTGGTGGAGCGTGCGGCTTTTAGAGTGCTACTGAGCACCGAGCTTATTGGAGGTGCTCAACCCTGCGTCTGGTCGGGCAAAGCAGTCTTTTCTCATCTCTTGGGATTCCAGGACAAGCGGTGCCTATAATCCTCCATCTCACTGTCTCCCTTGCCCAGAGGGTTGTCTCTGAAGGCAACCGTGTTGCCTCTGTGGGGCCACATTTGGTTGCCTTCTTTGCTCGCTCATTTGGGAAGAACGTCACCTTTCTGGTGACGCACTCCCAGGGTCTACCGGCTGCTCTCCGAACCTGTGCGGGAGACGCCTACCGGCAGCACCAGCATCGGTGTGACCACACTGCACCTCCGTCTACGCTTAGCTGTACGGAAATGGGTTTGTGTTCACATGCTGGCTCTGCTGCGTTCTTTGGGCAACTTCTGAACCTTGCGTGGAACCCAGTTTTACCTGTCAAATGCCCGCTGTTAGGGAGATTTGCAGTAGTAGTGACTATTCATTAATGATGGTAATCGTAGTTATATTTATTTATAGCAATCTATCCAAATCTTTTTTCTTTTATTTCCCTCAACAAGACTATAAATTTTGTAGAAGGATGGACCGTAATCCCTCAATTCAGTACTAATCGTGGCTAACATTTGTTGACAACTTATGCCAGATATCAGTTAAGATTTAACATTAGCTCTTTTAGTTCTAACAACATCCTATTAGTTAGGTCTTAGCAAAGACTGTTTTCTCCTAAATATGCCAAAACATCTCCCACCCCCCATGCTTTTTCTGTAACTTGACTTTGCCTGTCCTACTACTGAAAGGCAGGGTCTATGAGCACCCGCTTAAATTCGGGTGGTCTGAGCACTACAGTGAGAGCGATGCACTGGGCCACAGCAGGCAGCACGGTTCCAGCTTGGTGTCCCCAGGGTCTCACTTTCAGAGCCCACCCAAGCCACTCCATGGAGAGGCCCCGGTGGGGAGGAACCGGCAGCCCCCACCACCCTGCCAGCCGCGTGCACGGCAAGCAGATCCCCCAGGCCCAGCGCACTGTCCCCCTTCAATGCTACAGAAACAGAAACAAGCCATCCCCTCCACGTTTTGCCCACATTGCAGACTCATGACAAAAATAAACCCTCACTGTTCTAAGCCACAAAGGCTCTGGATGGCCTGCTGTAGGGCAATCGATGACGGACCCAGGTCCTGGTACACCCAGGTTAGAAAGGGGAACGCTGCGTCCGAGACGGGTCCGTCCATTCACTGCTGGAGCGCGTCACTAGCATCTGGTGTGACCCCTAGCAGAACAGAGTTCCTGTTTCCGGAACTGTGGGACTTTTTACAGTGCCTGTTTCCCCTGCTGGGTCTATTCTGTTTAACTTGTTTGGGGTTTTTTTGTTTGTTTGTTTTGTTTGTTGTGGCTGCCACTGTCTTGTTTTTGCTTGTTTTGCAAGAATGACACAGAACCTCCATTTCCCTGGATTTTTTTTTCCTCCAAGTGGAGTGGAGCCGGGACGGAGCTGAGAAGGCGCTGGCTGGGGCGCGGCTGCACGGGGAAAGCCGAGCCCACCTACTTACTCTGCGGAAACTTGGGCGGGTTATCGTTGACGTCGGTCAGGGTGATCGTCACTTTGGTTGTCCCTGAGAGTCCACCCATGTGTCCCCCCATGTCCTTGGCCTGGATCACCACGTGGTACTCCTCCTTGGCTTCCCTGTCCATGTTGGGAAGGGCCGTTCTGATGATGCCTGGCCAGGGAAATAGGAAATATCACAGGCACTTATTTCCAGCAACAGTTGAACAAAAACAGTTCCAGGCCCAGGGGGCACACAGGTGAAGGAAACAGCACCTTCCCTCACAGAAGAGTCACTTCAGTGTGATCATCATAACCCAAGGCAGCGACACCTAGAGCATCATCGAGATGAATTTTCCAGCAAACTGGCATAATTATTAACATAGCATTAAATTTTTATACGTTTTATATGTTACATTTTAAGTGCAAGTACAACACTTACAGATCCTAAATACTGAAGCATTTGAGAGACTGCGGCAAGGGTGTCCGTGACAGAAACCACGCTTCTGCACACGTAAAAGTCTGTCCCTGGCCCTGACCAGCATGGCTACACTGGCTGGGCGTTGGCTAGCAAAGTGAAAGGTTGGTGGTTTGATTCCTGGTCAGGGCACACGCTTGGGTTGTGGGCTGTCCCTGGCTGGGGTGCACGCCAGAGGTAACTGATTGATGTTTCTCTCACATCGACGATTCTCCCTCTCGTTTTCTCCCTCCCTTCCCCTCTCTCTAAAAAAATAAATTAAATTATATTTAGATCAGGCCAGTCTGGCTCAGTGGACTGAGGGCTGGCCTGAGAACCAAAGGAATCGCCAGTTTGATTCCCGGTCAAGGCACATGCCTGGGTTGCAGGCCAGGTCCCCAGCAGGGGGCATGTGAGAGGCAACCACACACTGATGTTTCTCTCCCTCTCTTTCTCCTTCTTCTCTTCCTTTCTGTCTAAAAATAAATAAATAAAATATTTTTAAAAACTCATCAAAAAATTTTAAATTAAAAAAAAAGTCTAACCCTGCATGCAATTCTTAGAAACATTTCTATGCTCCATATTAGGTTAAAAGCAGAAAGCATATATTTCATGCAGTACATTAAAATGTTAAAATTAAAATTTAGAAGAGTATACCAGATGGGTTAAAAATATACACAATAACAATGATAGATTATTTAATTTGACACGATCCCTGATTTATATAAAAACCAGGCTCACTTAAATCTCTTGGGAAGATGTGCCAGCTTTTCCTTCCTGTACACATGGCCACATTTACAATGGAAGTAAATGTGAAGGGCATGGTGGATGCCTTGAGCCCTGATCCCCCTCCCTCCGACATTTACATGTTTATCAAAAGCACCCTCGGACTCATTGGGCCTCCCTTCCCTGACCTGTCAATAATTCAGTAGGTTCGAATTCTGAGTCCCTGAAACAAAGACAGTAGCAAGTAGAGTCCCTCCACTAGTTCTGAACATCCAAAAAGATAGGCTCAAGCCGATGCTTTTTATGGAACCAAAGCAAGTAGCCCCGTAAATTGTGATCTGAAGCCAAGCGGCTACAAATAAATGATGACACGGGTAAGCAGAAATAATACCAAGTAAATGAGCAAAATAGCTGATCAGTAGTCTATGTGTATACATATAAGCAGAGGCATATTTGAGAATATTTTCACTGTAACAATAAATGTGAATTGCTTGTAAACATCTTTCAAATATATGGGGCATACTGCAGAAAAAGGAAGGGGTTTGCGGGGGTAATACTGTGGACGAGCAGTTTCACAGGATTTTAGTGTATATTCTAATAAAAGGATCTTCGAAACAAAAATTGATATAAACAAAGTGAAACACTTTGGTTTTAGTTGTTATATTTGTCCATTCTCTTGGTTTGCTATTTGTTTTCTGTAAGGAGTGAGCAGAAGCTTCCATCCTGGACGCTAAGGCCCTCTGGGCATCCCTCAGCTCCTCGGTGAGACTGGGAGTGTGGAGAGACTGGGAGTGAGCTGCCTCCCAACCCCCCTGAGCATTAACACTCCGCCCTCTGCTCTGCACCGAGGGCTTTGGGAGCTGCCAGTCTTTACGTCAGTCCTCAGGTTCATGGTCTCTTAATTAGGATCCGCAGTTAAATCTTTTAACGCAGTTAAAATGTAAATATTTTAAGATAAACTCTTAAATTGAAGTTGACTTCTATGATACCCTTTTAAGATAAAAGTTGTATTTTAAGATTACATTTGTTATTGGGACATGGTGTGAAATACAGATGGAGACAATCAATATGGCTCATTGGATGCCGGGCATGTATATAGCATCCAGTATTGACACCCACCCTAGGAGGTGGCCCTTTTCATATCTGAGAAAACAGGGAATCAACTAGGGTGAGTGGGCAGGTCTGGGCTCCTTATCCACGGTGTGTCTCGAACCACAGTGACACTTCACGATACCTGTCTGTGCTTCCACCGAAAAGTAGGGCTGGCCTTCGAGGATGCTGTACACCAGCTTGGCGCTGTTTCCGTAGGTGGGGTCGTCTGCATCCGACGCTGTCACCTGGATCACTGATGTCCCTTGAAAGTGAAATAAATTCGTTAGCAACAGTTCTTCGGCCTCTCACCTTCTATTCTAGTGTACAGAGTTTCATCTTAAAATGAGAAACTGAGGAAAGATTAGTTAGTGTGCGTTCATTCTCCTGGGTTTGAAATGCAAAATAATCTCCCTCCCTCCCTCCCTTTCTTCTTTCCTTCCCTCTTGATTCCTATACCTTAAAAATGAACTTTTTCTATTCATACATCCCGTTATGCTTGGTAGTTAAAATAATACTATGAACATTATTGCAAAAACATTCTAAGACCCATGCAATTAAAATGTTCAACCTATCAAATAATTAAATAAAAATCTTCCCAAAGAGCATAATAAAGGATAATTAATGATGAATTACTTTTCTTGAAAAGACAAAATACAGTCTTCCATCTGTAGCAGAGCAATAAATACATCACTTTATTGTTGCTTTGCATGGAATAAAATGGCTGCTAATACCACATTTTAATTAATTTATGGCTATAAATATCATACAGAATGCCGTTCCCTCCTGGCATGACAGCTGCGTCTCCCCGCCTCGAACTGCCTGGCAGCCGCACAGCACGGCCCTCCAGCAGACATCTGCTGAGGTGCAAGGTGCGCGTTGGTGGGTCAGAAGGGAAGGAAACCAGGGACTGAAGGAAGATGGGATTGTGTTTTTCCTAGAAAAAAACTTCTCTTCCTTGACGGTCCCAAGAATCGGAGGGCGGGAAGTGCTGGGCCCCAGATGGGGGTAGAGATGCCAGCCGGACCGAACCAGCAATCTTCCAGTTCCTGGGTGAAGGCGCTGCGTGGGGCACACCCCACAGGTGCCGCCAGGGTGACCTGCTCGGCACCATTTCACGCCCACTGCACTTGTGAGACACTGGGGGTGGGACGTGTGAAGTTTTGCAACCTATTTTGAAAAAAGTGGGTTGTTGCTGGAGTCGAGGGTCTAAGCCCCATCTGGCAGACAACTGAACCCCAGTTCTTCCCGTGGCACGTTCGGCAGAGGGGCAGGGCTCCACTCCACGCAGGAGGCCAGGGCCCGTGGGCCTGCCTCCGAAAACCCCGTGACACACAGCACGGCCAGGGGTTCCCCCACCTGGTGTAAAGATAAACCTCACTTTCTTCTGAGTCCTATTCTGTGATTCATTTTCCTGAGCCCTTCCCACAGAACCAGGCCAGATCCTAGCTCCTTTTCCAGGCAGTGGAGCTTTGTAAAGGAGAACAGGCTCTAGTTTCTGCCTTCATGGTACAGCTGGGGAAATTATTATTCTTTTATGCTTTATTTGCATCTAAAACTCCACTAAATCCATTACAACTCTGTATTTTGCATCTGTGTTATTTAACCCTCACCATGGTTTACGTTATCCTGATTCCATAAATGGTAAAATGAAAGCTGAGAAAGATACAAGAAATATTCCGGGTTCACCAGGCTGGCCAGAGGCCTGACTGTGGTGCGCACCCAGTCCTGTCTGACAGCACACGCCTCGCACAGGCCTTGATGGGAAGCTGGGTGTCACGCCTTAGCATCAAGGAGCCCCCACAGGTGGACACGTGAACATTCCCCCGGAGAATCCTTTTTGGTGACTGGCCTTTCCCCCCAGCTCAGCCGCTGACACTGCTGTCTCCTCTTTAATGATTTCATAGTTGTGCGTCCTGCTTCTCATTTAAATCCCCAGGTGACTCTGGCAAGGCTAAGGGACTGGGCGGGGCAGAAAGGGAAGAGAAGGTGGCAAGCAGGGGCACGGCCTGGCTCTCCTAAAGTGCGGGGAGGGTCTGACTTTTCACCTGGAGGAGGAGAGGGAGATTATCCGAGCCACCCCAGGGTGGCTTGACCCTGATGACCTTTGAACTCATTCATGCTCGTAATCAATCTCTGCTTCAGGGAACCAGACTCAGTCCCTGATCAGAACAGCCCTGCTTGCTATCTGAAAGGGAGACTGTTCTTGATATGAGACGTGTTTCCCAAGAGACCACAACTGCAGGCCTTCTGCAGAGTCCCATGGAAGTCCCAGCCCGGAGAAGGTGGCGGGCTGAGGGGCCCTGCAGGGAGTCCGGCTGGAACAATGCAGCACCTCGATGCATGATGGCAAGACACGCCTACTTCAGAATCACTCTAATCGACAGTGACAGTGTCATGGTTAAGAATGTATTCTGGGTTCACCTACTAGGTCAGGTGACCTTGGATAGACTAGTTAACCTTTTTCTAGCTTGGGTTTCTCGTATTTCTGCAAAATATGTCAAATAGGACCTACCTCACCACAAAGGTGAATCATTATAGAAATGAAATGCAGTAGTCCATGTATGTATCATTAGTTAGCACAATGCCTGCACGCAACCAGTATCACCGCTGCTGATGCTAATTGAACATCAGCGTGCGCCTGTGACTGACGCGTGTATGGTCTCCAGTCCTGCAGGACTAGGGATTGTTATTCCCGTCCCACAGAGGGGGAAACCCGAGCTAAGGGAAGGGCCCATCAGACAGCTAATAAGCGCCAGAGCCAGGATGACCTGGATTCAATCATCTTCTTCCCCCTCCTCCACACTCCCTCATATTTTGTAAGTTTAGATTTTCAAATCTCATGTCCGCCTTAAATATCTGAGACTACACACATAAAACTTGTATCTTGTTATTCCGCCACTGAGACTACAGCGTACGTTCTGCTTCCTGATCTGGGAGCATGGGCACCGGCCCACCCAGCCGCAGGGACACCTGCCTGGTGGGCAGAGTGGGTCCCCGCCCCCGGCCGTACGCACCCACATTGGACCTCTCGGGCACGTTGGCGTGATAGGTCTCGTGCAGGAACTCGGGGGGGTTGTCGTTAATGTCCTGGACCTTGACGATGAACTCCGACGGCGGCTCCAGCGGTCGGTTGGTGTCCCTGTCCACCGCCTGAGCCATCAGCGTGTACTGGGCTCTCTCCTCTCGGTCCAGTGTCTTGGTGGCATGAATGTTCCCTGATTTGTCATCAATCACAAAAATGGTTCCGGCTCCTTCACCTGAGAGAATGTATTTAATGTTCCCATCACCAGAGTCAATATCGGAATGAAGCTAGAAAAGGAGAAATTGAGATTTGTAATTCCACGAAGGCTGCATGGGGAGACAGAGAGCCACTTACGTGCTGTTTGCGACAACATGCTGTGTATACGCACATGCACACACACACACACACACACACACGTACGATGAGGGGGGACGTGCCCACCCCGTTTTACCAATGAGGAAATGGAATATTAGACAAGACAGCCGCCTTCACAGCTGCGAAGCCAGGGCTCAAACCTGAATTCTGACTTTTTTTAAATTCCAGGTTTCACGCTCTCTCTCCCCCCTCCTCACGTACAGGCACACATACATAATACATACACATACATAGCATTAATGGAGTTATTTTGAAAAAAATATGTGCATGTTACAAGTAACAAGAAACGATGTTTCTGCAGGAACAAGTTGTCTCAGCTCCAATTCCCACTGCTTCGTCCCCCCCACTCACTCGCACACGGCTGCCTCACCAGCCTCCTGCGACCCCACCACGGCATGTCCTATGCGTGTGCCCCAGTACCTCTGCAGACACACACACCCTTTGTTTATTTTTATGCAGTAAAGTGCTGCAATGCACACACCTCTCTTCAACCCCGTTTTCCTCGAAGGAGGCCCCATTTGGGGGACCCTTCCCCATGAGAATACACTGACTGACCTCACCTATCTATTCTATGAATACTGTTATCAATTCTTTTAGCAGTTGTCTTCCCCAAACACTAACACTGTTTCCGGGACTTTGTTTCTCCAAACAATCCCCCGACTAGACCTTTCCAGAAGACCTGCTGTGTGGCACCTGGGGCTGAGGAAACGGCGGGTGGGACGGCCGGAGACACAGGCAGCCACTCGGACCACAGGAAGAGTCTTAGACATCCTTAGTTCCCCACCCCCACATCCGTGGACAAAGCCCAGGGGAATTGTGGTCCCTGCCTAAATCCACAGTTGCCAAGGCCAGGAAACTACCTCCCTGCCACCCCCGTGACTCTGCTCCATGTTCGCTAAGACGGGAACCCCCCAAACAGCACGTCTGATTTTCCTGTATAGCCACAAACTGACTCCCCTTCTTGTCCAACCTCAGTTTCTGCAGCTTTCATCCGAACCTGAGCTCCTCATGCCCCTTGTGTGAAGAGAGAAGCATTTTTTCACCCTGCTCAAAGGTTTCAAGAGCAGTGGGTGGAGCAACAAGCCCTGGGCTCTGCCGACTACACGAGAAACACACGAGAGAACCCGGTATCAACAAAAAGGCTTTAGCTCGTTATTACATAATAACGAGTTATTATATTATGTTAATTTACTTATTATCAATGCCATTTTAATTATTATTATGGAACCAAGGCCTCGAGAGCTTGTCCAGAGTCACAAGGCGAGATTGAACACAGTGCTTTTTAAAATGTTCTCTATCGATTCAGTTTTTCAAAAAAACCATCTAATGACGCAGTGAAGCACCCACTATTTCAGCTCAGGGGGACACCTGTAGGTGCATGTGAATTTGGCAAGACTCTCGGGAATTAAATAACATTATTTCATGATCAACAAACTGAAAAAAAGTCTAAATATACTGCTCATAGTTTTTCTTGTTTTCCAATTTCAAAACCACAAATTCCTTCTTTCTTTTCTTGCTCACAAAGACGACCCATACAATTGACAATGGTATTTATTAGGTTCGACACAAAAAAGCAGCTTGGGAAACCATTCAGTGCTATCAGGGTGGGGGCGGGGTGGGTGGCAGCTGAGGCGAACACAGCCAATTCCCGACTCGGAAGACTCATGGCTTCCCCTCTGCGCAGCACGGCGTGGCGTGCCACGTGCTTCCTGCAAGAAATCCGAAAGCCCGGGCTTTGCCAAATGCCACCTTCTCAGAGCATCTCACATCCCTCCACCTTGAATGTCATCAAGTCAAACTTATCAGGGAACCAGTCACCTAGTCTATTCCCCCTGTTCGTGGGAAACTGTAGATGGGCAATGTGTCGAAAGGAAGAGCCACGGGATCCAACCCCTGGATTTCTTTTCCCCCATCCAGCCTGACATCACACTCATTCTTGGGTGCCTAGATTTTAGACGCCACTCACTGCTTCACTTTCCCCCCCTTTTCCCTGTGCTTCCCTTTAGTGGGCATGACAGCCGCTTGTCCCAGAGATGCTGGGATGGCTCGCAGGCCCTCCGGTCTCTCCCGCAGCAGCCCCGCCCCCGAACCCACGCGCTGCTCTGCGTGGCGGAGGTCCTGTTTTCCCGGGACAGCTCACACCCAGCATTTCCCGGTCACCCAGCCCACACAGCCCCTGCCACAGCCGCAGCCCCTCCTCCTCTCCGGGCACCGAGCCCACCTCCTCCACGCGGGGAATGCTACATGGTGCCAGCGATTTCCCTGGGTCCCCGTTTCCCATGCCGGCTTCTATTTTGGGTATAATCGTTCCATTTTGGGTATAAATGAATGAAATTCTTTAGTACATCTCTTAAAGAAAAAAAAACTCTTTCCCAAACCTGGACAATATTATTTGAGACAATAAGGTGGACCTCCTCCAAATATGCCCCTTGTATAAGTAGGGACGGCTGGATTCTGATGTGGAGGAGCCACCGAGATAACTCGGCTGGAATGCTCGAGGCTCAGAAATGAACACCCTCTCCTCCGTCCTCGTCCCTTTGCCCTCCTGCCCATCTTTCGGGTCACAGGCTATTGTCACGGTCTCCATGAAACCTCCCTCCCTACCTCCCAGAGGTCACCATGTAAATTCAAAATCACGTGTGTGGAGTTTCGCCGTTACCCTACTCCTCGGTTTAGTTTTTATTTTTGGAATTGCTCAGGTGAGACCCCTTTGAGGTCAGGGACACCTGACCCTCATGTGTCATTTGCCTCGCTGCGCACCTGCGCACAGTAAGCGGGCTCTCCGTTCTCAGGTGCGTGAGCCCCTCTCTCCTTGTGGTTAACGTCCCTGCTCTCGGAAAGACAGCTGCGTGTTTTGCCGTAACTGATAGCAGGCAGGCAGTTTCTCAGACATGCTCTGGACTCTTTCTTCCCTTGCGCTGTTTCAGAGGAGGCACGCAGAGATGCGGAGTCTGAATAGTGCTGGCACTCCCCAGCCACCCTCTCTGAGTGTTGCCCTGCCTGAGCCAAAGCGCATAGAACCCCACCCCCTCTTCTACATCCATTAATCCCGTCAGACATTTGCAGAGGCTTCCCCGAAGCTGGGCTTCAGTACCAGGCGCTGGGGGCCCAAGGATGACACCGTTCCTGTGGCAGGCAGCTTAGGCTCCAGTGAGGGGGGGAGACAAATAAGGAGACACGTGTAATACAGCAAGGGAAGCTGGGATAACCGGGGTAGGAGGGTTATGAGAAACGGCATCCAAGTGGGGTGAGGCGGGGGGTGGTCGGGGAAACGCCCCCAGCTGGAGAATGGTTGAACAAATAATCACCATTTCATTCAGTAGACTAGTGTGCAGCCACTAAGAAATGTAGCTATGATGGTGTGATATTAAGTGGAAAACAGGTGTTCTCCACATGGATGAGTCTATGAATGTGAAAAGGAAAGGCTGGAAGCATGTCTGTTCAATGGTGGCCAGACCATCAGTGTCTCCCCTCCTAGGTTTTTTCTCCGCGATTCTCCACCACTGGGGTGGAGGGAGGGAAATCTGCACGGGACACGGCAGCTTACCCTGCCCACGAGCACGGGGTCCGGCCCGGTGTACTCCTCTATCACGAAGAACTGGTTCCAGACCCAGCCTCGCTTGGAGCGCTGCAGCACCTGCCCCTCCTTGCCCTTCTCGTGGTGCCCGTGGAACGAGGGTCGCAGGTGGCTCCTCCGCTCGGTGCTGAAGGCCTGGCTGTGGCACAGCATGCCCAGGCACACCAGGGCGGCTTGTAAACAGTAGTTCTCCTTCATTTTTGGTTACGTGGTAGGCACAGGAGAATGCGGCTGTCGCCCCTTCCACCGACCGTGCGGCGGCCTGGCCGATGGTGGCCTCCCAGACGCGTCACACAGACCTCTCTTGGAATGGATTGTCTCTGCTCGCCGAGCACATCACGTCAGGGCTGTCCACTTCCCCGGGCGGCTTCTGCAGGCAGAGAGAAAGGTCGCATTAGCCGTAGGCTCCATCCCCACCTTATCTCAACTCCATCACCAGTTATTACCCACGGTGGACCATGTGAGCGCTTCACTCTGGGTACTGAGGTGGCAGGCATCAGAGATAGTCCCTCCCCTCTCACAGCTTACCACGTGGTGGGTGGGAGGAACACACGCATGTAAAGAAACCCTCAGGTCTGTACGAGGATGAAACGTGTGTGCTGTGGAAGCCAGCTGCCCGGGTCCGCGTGTCAGCGTTACCACTCACTGGCTTTGGGTGTGGGGTAAGCTAACTGACTTCTTTTTGCTCAGCTTGCTCATTTGTGAAATGGGGATGAGACTTATCATGCTCACTGCAAGGTGGGCAAGGGGATTCAGCGAGTCGAGGCCCTAAGTGTCAGCACATGCCTGGTACACAGGAAGCACTCCATGCTCATGTCGTTACTGATCATACTTGCGCTTGGGGGTGTGTTTGCAACACAAAAACTTGGGGCTTCATGGGAGTCCAGGAGAGGAATATGTGACTGGTGGGGACTGGGAATGGAGATGGCAGATGGTGGAGATAGTGAAGAGATTTCCTAGAGGACGGGATGGCTGGGCTCAACCTGAAGTGAGAGTTCCCATGATAAGGAAAGACAGGAGCGGATGGGAGGTCCGTGCAGAAGCAGCAGCATGTCCTGAGGCCCCGAGCTGGTCCCAGCACAGCAGGCCCCGAGACACCCAGCACCGCTGCAGAGTACAAGGAAGGAGGGAGGCAGCAACGGGCCCTGCTAGAGAAGGGAGGTCGGGGGAGGTCCTACAAGACCACTGACAGTCACTACAGTGTTTGTCAGTAAAATCAGGGGCTGGGTGCTCCATGACGGGCCACTGAAGGCTACTGTGTCAATCCAGTGGACAAGATTTGCTCTCGTTGGCCAAAGCTCCACCCAAGAAGCTGAAGATCCTACCTGAACCTGGCAGGTGTCAAAGATACTTTACAAGCTCTTTCCAACCAGGAAAAGCAAAGTATGACAGCACGCCCTACCAAATGATCGCACAGCTCGTTCCTGGCACCCGGCTGTGACTCAGCAACTTATCAATAGGAAGAATGAGCCACTAACACCTTCCCATGACCCTCGTAGGTTTCTGCTCTGTGGTCACTGCAGTCCTCTCCCCGGCGCTGTGGTGCTTCCGCTAGTTGCTAACGTCTGCTTCAGGTTCCTGGGCTTCCTCTCTGGACTTGGTCTTTTTGGTACTGGAAACTTAATTCTCCCCCAAGGAACTTCCTTTGCTTGTGTGCCGCTCTTGGCACCCCACTCTTTCTTCTGGACAATCATCGTCTCCCCGAAGGAAAGTGACACTCAGACTCCAGTTGGAGTCTAGTTCCCAGAGCCAGAGAGTCCCCACTACCAGCCCTGTCACCAATGTGAGGGACTCTCAGAAAGTGTGTGGGCATGGAGGATGACACATCGATACTGAGGGTGACACTTCATTTCAGCAGGGGGGTCACGGGAGTGGTTAAATGGAAGTAGTGAGACCCCTGAGTACTGTACAAGTAGAAACCATCACCTGATTCTTTGTCGTCTAGGTCAGATGACGTGGTGGGGGGAACAGGAGAGGGAGTGTGGCTCTTGGCATGGTGGGACATCTGGAAAGCAGATAAACCAGACTGGAATACCATTTCTCTGTCTCACCATCTGGGTAACCTTGGGCAGCTCATCCAGCACTCTGCGCCTGCGTGCTTTCGTCGGAAAGCAGACCTGATGGGCACTCCCGCACCCATGTGGGGTGGACACTGTGTGGGCACTGGGCACACACGGGGTCTCCTCCCCTCTTCCCAGCCTCCCTGAGAAGACGGAGGTGCTCTTAACTTGCAGATGAAGAGGCCCAAAAGAAGGTGATGAGGTGCTTTTGCTAGGAGAGGAGCTGAGGAATAAGTTATATGGAGATACCACAGCTCACTGGCCTGGGTTGTCTAGAAAACAAGGGAGTTGGTGGACTTCTAACTTGTTGGTGCAGAATGCCTTTCCTCCTAATGGCCTTTAACTTCACCAACCCAAGCCTTCCTGCTGCTTTCTCATTGGGCAACATGGTACCTGGGGAGGCCCAGACGTGCCGTTAATTTCTGGTGCCCGTCACTGTCCCCAGTACCACTCTACGATGGGTTATGTTAGTCTCTTTTCGAGGTATGGGGACTTTAATATTTATTGTGACATACACTTCAGGATGTGTAAATGGCTGTGTGGAAGAGAAAGATTAAAAAAGCAATGCCATCATTTAACAGCCTCACCTTCAGACTCAGGCATTGAGTGATATATCAAATGCTATTCCTTGTGTCAAATGCCATTCCTTGCAAGCCAAACTGGCTGTGTGCGCAGAGAGGGACCCAGGAGGGATTGCATCCTAAAACGAGGCAACGGGAAGCAACAGGAAGCTCCCTGGGGTTAAGTCTGGAAGCTGGAGGCGGAGTGGAAAATCTGCCACTGGCTTGTCAAAAGACCCCACTAATTCCCCTTTTGGGGGCCCTGCCTCATTCTCTCTAAAATGAAGCCATTGTGCACCATCTTCTCCACGTGGCTTCCAGTTTCATATTCATGGTTGGAGCTCTGGTAAGAAGAGACTGTGGGACATTCTTCTGATTCATACACAGTCTCCTTCCCAGACTGAATGCATCTTAGTGGTGAGATTTTCTCTTATTCGTGATTCTATGTCCAGTGAGTGAGCGCTTCAAAGCAGGCCGTTCATGAAAGGATGAAGGATGATTTGACCCACATGCTTCAAGTTCAAACTCAATTCTGCCTCCTTAGAATCTCAAGAAGAAAGCGAAAGAAAAGAACATACGGTGCAGCAAGATCCCTGCCCGTTTTCCACCACACCAAGTATTAAGTGTTCATTCGCGTGGTGAGAAATTATTCTTGCATATAAACTGTGAAGTGTCTTTGAAGGAAAGGGTTTAATTAAAGTTGATATTTCTGCACCTCTTTCTTCTGGCTGCCATTTTGCTGTAAAGCACAATTATTTCTGACACTAAAAGTGTTGCAACTAGATGACAACATTTTTTCTTCTTCTTTGTAAAAAACACTCTAGCTTGATACTAATGAACTTAAGAGCTTCCACATGACCAATAAATAATAAATCCTTTGTTGGAAACCTGAAATTGTCTATTTTTCTCTGTTGGAAATACCAGCAAAACCAACTTGCTTTTAAAAGCAATTAATCAGGCCCATTATTTGTAAGTGCTTATATGACTATGTGATATATAAAGTTATTTTAATGATCAGTCTCATATATGTGTAAGATTAATCGCAAGACATGATTTTTAAAATTTATTCAATTTCAGAATGCAAAATTTACTTAGCAAAACCTTGTTATGGCCATTGATCTAGAAAGTAACTACAAATGGTAATTCACCTAATTTATATAACAAACTATGAATAGGTACTATGAATATTCTTTTTTTTAAGATCATATTTATTTATTTATTTATTTATTTAGAGAGGGAAGGGAGGGAGAGAGAGAGAGAGAGAGAAACATCAATGTGCGGTTGCTGGGGGTCATGGCCTGCAACCCAGGCATGCACCCTGACTGGGAATCGAACCTACGACACTTTGGTTCGCGGCTCGTGCTCAATCCACTGAGCTACGCCAGCCAGGGCTGAATATTGTCATCTTAAAGGATGAGAAGACTGAAGTCCAGATAAATTAAGCAACTTGAAAGAGGTTATGTTTCTGATAAATAGCAGAGCTAGAACTTGAACTCATGACAGCTGGCTCTGGAGTCTGCATTCCTAACAAGTGGTCAACACCAGCTCTTGCCGTCTGTTGGAGGTTCACCAGGAAGTGATATGGACACTGTGATGGAAACAGCAACCTAGAAGCCACCTAAAGTAAACCAATAGTAGGACCTGATGCCCATTAATAATATGACTATGATGAAATAATTATTATTATTAATAATAATAATTCACATTCATTCATTATTATCTGCCTAAGAGTCTTCTAAGTGCTTTCAATGAGTGGAGTCATTAAATTGTCACAATAACCCTACAAAGTAGTAGGATCCCCATTTTACAGGGAAGCAGTCTGAGGCACAGTGAGATTAAGGAACTTGCCATGGTTACAGAGTTGGCTGGGATATGAGCCCAGGACGGCTGGCTCCAAGACCTGCAGTCTTACCCCTTGCAGTCCTAGTGTAATGGTGCCCCTCGAAGAGAAGGCTGCGTCTCAGATACAGACACACATCTGCGTACAACACATACATCAGTCTTAAGATGAAAACGATTTAACTTTTGGTGACACTGGCAATGGGTGCAGGGTGAGAGGGCAGGAGTTATGCTGTAAGTAAAATATTAAAAACAAACCAGAAATAGGAAGATAAAGTATTTCCCAGCAGTGATCAAACTGAAGATGAACAGAAGGCACTCACATCAGCCCATCACAACACAGTCACCGTGTAACCAGGTCCTTAAACGGCACCATTCACTGAAAGCTAATCTTCACTATTTATCTTTAAACTCATCTCAGAATTTCTAAATGTATAGGTTAAAAACGATGTGTTCAGGGAGATTCATACATGGTCTCCTTCCTAGACTGAATGCATCTTAGTGGTGAGATTTTCTATTTTTTTTAGGAATGCTTCTAAAATCTAGAAATCCGATTGATGTGTTCAATGGTAGAGAGTTTGCAGGAATCACGCATAAAAATTAATAGGAGACCGCCCTCCTAAGAAGACCTTGACATTGGTAATAATTAGGGAAATATATCAACGTTCTAACTGGTTTTATTAAAGACCCCCAAGGCGGTTCTTGAATAACCCTTCCATTAAAGCACTTTCTAACAGTATGCCGGGATGCCTAAGCATTGGGGTTCCACTAAAACATATAGGGGGACTTTATTTTATGATTGGAGCATATCGCTTGGAAGGAAAAATAAATGCTGCTGAAAGTCACAGGAGTAATAACACCACGGAAAATGGATTTGCAAAACCACCAGCTCTAAGTGGAAGGCTGGCCCT